TGGAGGGAAACTACGTCGTGACGTCGTAACGCTTGAAGCTGATACCGTCACAGTGTGTATACACAGAATGGTGTATATATCTCATCGTATATACAATGAGATGAATCCCCATTTTATAGATTAAAAGAGTTTTTGATTGGTAATGCACACGATGAATGCAGCCTTAATGGCACCACGTGCCGTTGATAGGCTTTAAACCTAGCACGCTCACTGAGGTACTGGACCCGTTTTCTCTTTTTGGTTTTTCGCTCACTTCACTTTTTATGTATTTTTTTATATGTTTATTTTGCAACATCTTACGTTGTCTTCTAGTTCCCCGCTACATTGTGCTTCTGTTCTCTTATGTCTTATATATATCTTTTTTTTTTCTCTTATCGGCTGACAAAGTTAATGTCGTTTGTTTAGTAGTTCTTCGTTGTTGTTCTCAATTAATGCAGGAAACAATTTTGTTGCATGTCTCTAAACATTTTCTATTTTGTCTTACTGTTGAGGAGCTCTTGATCCAAGGAATTGGCGTTACCTTCCTTTTACCTGGGTGGAGCTTGATTACCTCCTTTTTCCAGGCGCTGTATGACCCCTGCGGGTTTAGCAGTCTTCCCATGAATGCAGTAATAGTACATTAAGTGTAAGCATCATAGTACGACTGCATATTCCAATGTTTTCATAATGCACTTTGTGAATATTTTTATTGTGTACTGGACAAGCATCTAAAGTCGGTACCTGACCAGCCGGGCTGTGGCTCGTACGTTGGTTTGCGTGCAGCCAGCAGTAACAGCCTGGTTGATCAGGCTCTGATCCACCAGGAGGCCTGGTCACAGACCGGGCCGCGGGGGCGTTGACCCCCGGAACTCTCTAAAGGTAAACTCCAGGTATACGTGCAAGATATTGTGATGTTTGCCAGTATAGTACAGTGAGTTTCTTATTTCAGTATTCTTTACGGGAATAATAATAATCTTGAGCTATCCAAGCTCAGCCTATCCAAGTTTTTATTTTTTTGTAGGGATTTGTGATCATTTTAATTTTATATTGCACAGAAATGTCCATCATCAGTAAATGTATCCTTATTTATTTGTTCTAGGATGGTTAGGTAAGGTTTGTCAGGAAACAGGAAAAGTGTTTCCTGGCGCGGGTCTTAGTCATATGATGACTCGCCATTGGAGATTTTGGTCATCTGACCGAGGCGTTCCGCTGGCTTGCCGGTCCACCCCTTTAAAAATTATGGTCATAGTTACAACCATTTTTCTTCTAGGACTTCTTTATATAAATTAAAAGCAGATATCGGTGTAAGTAGTAATCCTTGTAGGAAATCATACTAATAATATTTCTTCATAAATACCACAAGTTTTACTTTATATCCCAGTATGCAATTTTTTTTAAAACGATTTCTCATTCTTTGTAGAAATTTACCCTGAAGTACCCACAGGGATTATAATAATAATGCAGTAGTATTGGCTGAGCCAACTAACAAGTGTTCTCTCCCGTGGCAGACAAGAGGAGCTGCAAGGACTGCGACAAGGTACTGTCTGAGCTGGAGACCATCGACGATGACACCGACAGGTTCGGCGTCCACTTCGTCAAGGTGGCCGACAAGAAACTGGCAAAGTCTTACGGTATCAAGATCTTTCCCGCTCTCTCCTTCTTCAGAAACAAGGAACCCATCCACTATGACGGTTAGTTCCCTTTAAGAGTGGATTATTATTATTATTATTATTATTATTATTATTATTATTATTATTATTGTTTAATTATTTTTATTAACACACTGGCCGATTCCCGCCAAGGCAGGGTGGCCCGAAAAAGAAAAACTTTCACCATCATTCACTCCATCACTGTCTTGCCAGAAGGGTGCTTTACACTACAGTTTTTAAACTGCAACATTAACACCCCTCCTTCAGAGTGCAGGCACTGTACTTCCCATCTCCAGGACTTAAGTCCGGCCTGCCGGTTTCCCTGAATCCCTTCATAAATGTTACTTTGCTCACACTCCAACAGCACGTCAAGTATTAAAAACCATTTGTCTCCATTCACTCCTATCAAACACGCTCACGCATGCCCGCTGGAAGTCCAAGCCCCTCGCACACAAAACCTCCTTTACCCCCTCCCTCCAACCTTTCCTAGGCCGACCCCTACCCCGCCTTCCTTCCACTACAGACTGATACACTCTTGAAGTCATTCTGTTTCGCTCCATTCTCTCTACATGTCCGAACCACCTCAACAACCCTTCCTCAGCCCTCTGGACAACAGTTTTGGTAATCCCGCACCTCCTCCTAACTTCCAAACTACGAATTCTCTGCATTATATTCACACTACACTGCCCTCAGACATGACATCTCCACTGCCTCCAGCCTTCTCCTCGCTGCACCATTCATCACCCATGCTTCACACCCATACACGAGCGTTGATAAAACTATACTCTCATACATTCCCCTCTTTGCTTCCAAGGACAAAGTTCTTTGTCTCCACAGACTCCTAAGTGCGCCGCTCACCCTTTTCCCCTCATCAATTCTATGATTCACTTCATCTTTCATAGACCCATCCGCTGACACGTCCACTCCCAAATATCTGAATACATTCACCTCCTCCATACTCTCTCCCTCCAATCTGATATCCAATCTTTCATTATTATTATTATTATTTTTATTATTGTTATTATCAAATTAAGCTCTAAACTTGTATAGGTCATATAGTTTACATATTGGGATTTTCCCACTCCCAAGGTAACACTGACCCTTACGGGTTCGGCTATTCCCCATGAATTGCAAAATAATATGAAAGTCAGTTGGAGGTGTCACTTTGTAGGTTTACCTTCAGTCTGACTAAAACCTGGACCACATAACTTAGTTGTGAGGGTTCAGAAAATGAAGGAGTAATTGAGCATCAAGTATTTGTAACAGAGCATGTGTTTATTGTCGTAATACCTTTCTCTTTTGTGTGTTTGTATAATTAGCAATTTGTAATTACAAATACCCTCAGGAAATAGTGTCTAATAATAATGAGTCAGGAAGCAACAATAAGAGACAGACAAAGACCAGATGCTATATCTGCTTTAACAGAAAATGTAAGGTGAAGGAAAAAATAGATAATGACAAAAGATTAAAAAGCGAACTTTCGTTGACCAGTATGTGAGGAGTGTCCAACCCCATGTGACTCCCCTTCCCTGACCTTACTTCTTGCTTTACCTTACACAGGTGACTTGATGGACGAGGCGAACGTGCTGGAGTTTCTCACCAGCCTAGAGGCCATGGAGCTGCCAGACCAGATCGAGGAAGTCAACGCCAAGATCCTCGACAAGATCGTCGAGGAGCAGGAGTTTGTCGCTGTCCTCTTCTGTGAGTACATGATGGTGACCCTCGAGTGGTAATATTCTCTCTCTCTCTCTCTCTCTCTCTCTCTCTCTCTCTCTCTCTCTCTCTCTTCCCTATTCAGCCTTAAGTATCTTCTCATAGTGCCACAGCTACACTGTAGTTAGAAATTGACTGTAGTTATAGTTCTCAGCAGATAGCCTCAATATGGACTATATGGCCTTTGCTCTCTCTCTCTCTCTCTCTCTCTCTCTCTCTCTCTCTGTCTATCTATCTGTCTATCTGTCTGTCTCTCCCATGTACTCCCACGCATTATCTTTCACGTGTTTAGCATTAGGATTTTCGCCCATTTATCGTAGAGATATACATGCCCGTATTGCTTCTTGTTGTGTATTGCTGTAGTTGCTGCTGCCGGTAGATACACATTTCTTATAGGCCTTAGTTCTTTAGTGCTGTAGTTTTTATTTTGTATATAATTTTCTAACGCTTTACAGTTTTCAGCATTTAACTTTTTTCTACCTTCAAGAGCGAGTGCCTTGATTCTTGGTCATGGGACTTTGATCCTTGGAATTGATAGTACCTTGTATCCTGGGAATTAATAGTACCTTTAATCCTGGGAATTAATTGCCTTTGATCCTAGGAATTGATAGCTCCTTCCCCTTCCATAGATCAGTTCTGATTACCTAAATTCCTGAAGTGCTGTAGGACCCTTGCTAGTTTAACGTAAGGAGGCAAGCATATAAAACCAAACATTTTTGTTTCACTCACAAGCCTAAGAGAACAGTCAGAAACTTAAGTAATGCATGTGTTTACCATGACTGATGATCTTTAAGATAGCCAATATCAAATCATCATTAAGGTATTGGTCATTAATATTATGGTGATCATCATTTAGGTGGTCATCATTAAGATGATAATTAAGGTGGATACGGTTAAGGTTATAAGTCAGTGGTAATGATCACCCTGGGTCCTGGACAGTTTTCATCCATGCCAGGTATGGCGGGTGTTAATGTGTTGTCACCTGTGTTGCTGGCTGTAGCACTGCTAGGTAGCGCTGTGAGGCATTGCTAGGCTTTGAGGGCAGCGCCAGGTACTGTGGTATTGCTAAGCACTGTGTAGTACTGCCAGGTATTGTTAGGCAATGTGGCTATGCTAAACTGTGTAGCACTTAGGCATTGCTAGGATCTGCGTGGCAATGCCTTCCATTGCTAGGCACTGGGTGGCATTGCTAGGCACTGTAGCATCGCTAAGCACTGCATAGCATTGCTAGGCACTGCGTAGCATTGCTAGGCACTGTGTAGCATTACTAGGCATTGCTCAGTACGGTTCCCGTCCTCTCCCATGTTCTCACAGCTTGCCACATTTAATCAACGAATATTCTGAATTACAGTGGCAAATTGTCGCTTGCTGTGTAGCTGTTGTGTCTGGCTCCTTTTTTGTAGCTAATATGTCTTTCTGTTTTGTAGCTGCTGCTGTGCCTGGCTGCTATTGTGTAGTTGATATGCCTAGCTGTTGTGTAGCTGCTCTCTGGTGTTGTTGTGTAGTTGGTATGTCTAGCTGTTGTGTAGCTGCTGTGTCTGGCTTTTATAGTGTAGCTGCTGTGTCGCTTTTATTGGGTAGCTATTGTGTCTGGCTGTGGTTGTGCCTGGCTGTTCTTGTGCAGCTGCTGTGCCTGGCTGTTGTTGTGTAGTTGCTATGTCTGGCTATTATTGGGTAGCTATTGTGCCTGGCTGTCGTTGTGTAGCAACTGTGTCTGGCTCTTATTGTGTAGCTACTGTGCCTGGCTGCTGTTGTGTAGCTACAGTGTATGGTTCTCATTGTTTACCTACTCTGCCTGGCTGTCGTTGTGTAGCTACTGTGCCTGGCTGTTTTTATGTAGCTACAGTGTCTAATTGTAGTTGTGATGGCTATGTCTGGCTTCTGGTGTTAAAGATCTTGCCTAACTCTAGCAAACTTTCAATTTGCTGGTTATAACATTCACTGCCATTTCTCGCTGGTAAAACACACGTGACTGATCAGGGTATCTTTGATGCCTATCACATCAAGCTTCATAATCACATGTCGTAATATCAAAGCTAAGCTCATTGATGTTATGCTTACAAGATCTTTCTCTAGCTGGCTTTGGCTTACGAGTATAATCTAACAGCTTGCCCTTTATAGTGTGCTGAGGTATTGTGTAGTTTATCATAGTTTTAATACTCTTGTTTTTTTTCTCTCACAGCATGTGTGAAGCCTGCTGTCTCATTTCAGTGTAAATTTTTTTCATATTAATATACTGTCAAATATATATAATTTTTGGCTTAAGGTTTTGAGTACCAATTCCTTCAGTGCAGTCAAGAATTTATTCAGATGGGGTGGTAGGGGAAGTGGAATTTTCAAACGGCTTCAGGAAGAAATCCAAATATTCTTCCTTGAAGCCTTTTTATCCACTTCTCCGAGGCTATGGGTCCCACAATTTACACCAGAGGTGGACCCCATATATATATATATATATATATATATATATATATATATATATATATATATATATATATATATATATATATATATATATATATATATATATATATATATATATGCAAAATTAATGATCATTTTGCATGATTGGGTTGGTGCTCATATACTGTTGTCTTACGTCATTAGTTATGTTATGTAAAGCCTTTGGCATCCTTAGAGCCTGACTCAGTGGTCTTGGCACCTTCTCATAGTGCCACTGCCATTCACTGTGCGCTAATCACACCTTATATCTGTATGCACTGTGATAAAGGCACGGGGCCAGCCTCACTCTTCGAAGCTCTACCCACGCTCACAAGCTCCGCCCACACTCACAAGTTCACCCACTCTCACAAAGCTGCGCCCAAGCTCACAAGCTGCAACCACACTCACAAGCCCCAACCACTGACACACGCACACGCCCATACACACGCGCAACCCCCCTCCCCCCCAACTCACACATTCACTGAACGTAGGGCTGGAAGCCGTGGCAGGCGAGTCATTTATTATGGACATCGAAAACCAAATTAATAATAAATCTAAATAAAAAACATCCAGGAAGAGAGAGAGCCAAGCATTTATTTATCAACAAATATATGGTTGATAGTTATATAAGAGAGATAAGGCACATAATATGAGCGAAGAACCTTAACAACAGGAGTATGGTAGCGCCTCTAGTAGAAGGCAAAACAGTCAGTGCTAGACCTAGTGTTCACTAGAAAAGAATGAAGAAAAAGGAAACAATAAAGAATGGCTCAACAGATGCTGGAGGGATGTGAAAAAGAAAGTATTTTTAATATATATATATATATATATATATATATATATATATATATATATATATATATATATATATATATATAATATTATACATATATAATTATATACATATATACATATATACATATATATATATATATATATATATATATATATATATATATATATATATATATATATATATATATATATATATATATACGCAGAAACACAATGAAGAAACACTACAGTACAGTTAATGGCCCGTGCTAAGGCAGGTCCAACTCACACCCACCTAGACTCATGTACCCGTCCAACCTATATTTAAAACTACCCAAAAGTTCTTACCTCTATGACGCTGCCTGGGAGTTTGTTCCACTCCTCTACAACTCTACTGGCAAACCAATACAAAGCCACGTAGTGAAAATAATTGTAGAACTCGTTGCAAGACTATTTCAAAGAGCGCCAAACTCACGAAGTTTCACTTACAATAGAGTAATCTGGCAGACAAATAGAAAAGTGTACATTATGTCGATATTCTAAATATGAGAAAAGAAAGGCCTTTTCAAGTATAAGCCTGTCTTACTGGCAGTGTGTTGCTAAAATGCTTGAAAAGTGAATAAAATACATGAACAGCAAACACCTTCTAACAAATATTTGGTTTTCTATCAGTATAATGCGACTGAATTACAATAATTATTGAAGAAAAATTGATGGGCAACTTGCATTTTAAGAAAACTGTAATAGAGTTCCTCGTCAAACATTAATCTGCAAAACACAAATAACTCGCACATAGGAGAGAGGAGCTTACGACGACGTTTCGGTCCGACATGGACCATTTACAGTCACACTGTCAGAAAGGAGAGAATGTGCGGGTTGTTTGTGTATTGTTTCAGTCACGGCACTGTGCTTTTTTGTTATTTATGAATCTGGAAAATAAAATCTCAGTAGGAATAAAATAGAAACTTTTCCCCTGGATGAGAGATTTTTTATTTGCATGGGTAATGCAGTAATACAAGAAAAATCTCCACATGGTAGTGTCAGCAGGGTTGTGCCTCAAAGATCGGTGTTTGCTTCGTTATTACTTAAAATTTATATCTGTAATATGCCAAAAAGAATTAAATGTTATACAAGTATGTATGAAGATAATGAAAAATTTCTGTATAAAATAACTGCTTAATAAAAATGACTAAATTCCAAAAAGAAGGCTTGGATAAATTGAGAAAACAGTGGTAGATCCAGGTTCGATTTCCGGGGAGAGAGAGAGGCGTTTGAGCAAGTCTCCTTACACTTACTGCCCTTCTTCATCTACCAGTAAATAAGTATCGGGTGCAAGTCGACAGTTGAGGTCGCATTCTAGTGAAAAAACAAGTGGCTTTTGCCGTAATTACAAGATATATATTTGTCGTGCTCTTTAGCCACGGCGCTGAAAACCTATTTTTCTGAAAAAATTACTTGGGTATTTTTGCATTATGGAGTAATAGATATATCACGAGAATTGGGATATATGAATATTATGTAATTTGTACCAAAGCTGACCCGACCTTTCTATAATTTTATTATATTTTAATCTAACTCTCCAAAGGTTAGCCTAATTCCATTTAGTATTATATAAAATTATGGGAGTATGTTGACTTTTGTAATATTTCGCTGAATTTGATTTAGTGGTATCTACACTACTTTTAGCAAGGTTATAGCAAAAAAAAAATATGTGTAGCTTTCTTTTTCAAAGTTATTTTGTAAGTTGTGGCTGTACAGCTCCACCCACAGGCACACTCAGAAGTATTAACTAACCGCTTCCACTTTATGAATACGTCCACTCCACTGCTAACCCATTAGTTCCCCTACTGATGCACACACAAAACTAGTCACAACGGCCCACTGGCACCTTCAAAAACCACCCATTGAACACTCACGTCCACTAATCCACCTTCAAAAAATTACCCACTGAACCGCATACAATCACAGGGTAATAACCTGGGGTCGCAGATCTTACCTAATATCTTATAACTTCGGCCTATAATTAAATATATCCATAAAGATATTGAACATGACTTGGTGATAGATCGACTGTGTCGTTGTCTTAGAAGTTCCACTCAAGTTTTGATATAGACTTAGAAACTCCACTCAAGTTATTCACATGGTTTGCACCCGAGGCCTTCTGCTGGTTACTGGTGTGTTAAAGTTTCTCTACACTACTTAAAATATTTATTTCCTTCTCTCATTCATGAATTCTTTCCATGATTTAGTCTTTATTAATTTTCTCGTAGTCATGAACTGTGTAATAACGTCACTCTATGAACTAGGATCATGAGTAGATTTTTAGCTATCTGTCTTTATTCAGTATTCAGTGAATTAATTTGTTACGTCCAAGATCTGTAGAGTGCACTTGAGCTATTAAGGCCGTTCCATAATCGATCTATCGCCCATTGCGCTAACAGTGTCATCTAGTATTGTGATCCAGTGGACCTGCTCTCGATGTTTGTGCTGTGTGAGTGTTCGGTGACCAGGTGTTGGTGGGTAAGGGTGTGGAGTGATGCACTGATGTTCGTGTACCACCTCGGCAGGTTACGACGGAGACGCTTGCAACCATGGGGAACGTAAGTAGCAGCAGCAGGCCACACATTTGTACATCTCGTGCCTGCCTAGCCTCGCCTGGCCACCATCAACACTATTTTTTTGTTGTGGCCTCGTCCCATTTTCTTTTATCTCACTACATTTATGTGACTTCTACATTTGTGTGCCCTTTTTTATATAATATTTCCGTATTCAACAGAGTTAATGCTTTTAGTTTTAATCTACATTTATTATTTTTCATCACTGTTGATTTCCTTTTTTTATGTTGTTTTAGACCATGCACTCCATTAGCGTTTAAACAGAATGCTAACAGCTTTTGGCAAGCACAACATGCAACAGCTAATATTTTGTAAAAATGGCAGTACTTGACCAACGTAGAATTTTTAAAATATAGCAAACATGCACAGCGACGCTATCAGTAGCTTGTTAAATCTCTAAACTTAAGTCTACGTTAAAAGAAATTACTGACATACGAGGAAAATCTGAGGTAGTTGATTCGCAATCTTGGATGGCCGGAAATCTAGACACGACATCATTATGACGTACGAAATACTCAAAAAAATTGACGGCCGGATAGCAAAAAACAGTTTGAAAAGATAAACAGAGAAGTGGATACAAATGGAAGACAAACACGAGATTGTATTATAGAGATGTCGGGAAATCCTTTCGTTTCATGGTGAAGAATAAGGCACATGTGCAACATTTGGTTAGCTTAATTGCCGAAACTCTTCGCTTGCGCAGCAGGCTTTGTCGGTGGAATACAGAGGCGACTTTCATATTAGAGCTAATGGAAGAAGTGGAGAGGTAATTTAAAGGCGATCAATTCCTTAGCCTTGAAGAGTTAATATCAGGATGATTAGGAAATTAATCCCTCGGATAGGAAATTAAACTCTCTGGATGAGGAAATGGAGGCAGACTGGTAAGTAGCTTTAAATTCCAGGTACGATATCGCTCAGTAGGTTAGCAACTTGTAAAACCAGTGATAGAGGCGAGGCCAGGAGTTATGACTCAACACCAACAACCTCTAGGTGACTACATTCATACACACATATTCACAAACATGCACACACCTCGTTATATTTGAAATAAGTATAATACAAGAAGAAATAAGATTGAGATGCGGAAATATAAGAAATACTGAATATCACATTTTAGAAAGTATTTGGAGAAAGAAAATATTAAGGAGCAGGTTTTATGTTCCCAACGAGCACATGAAATGGATATCCTTGAAATAATTAGAGAGCCATTTAAGAAATTGCAATTGAACATTAAATAAAATAAAAAATGAAATTGTATATGACGGAAAATGTACCGAGAAACATGAGTATATGTTCTGGAGTATTTCTTGAAACCTGTTTCATCTGATGAGGATAAACTGGCAAATGCGAAGAAAATATTGAAAATTGCATCGATACTCAAGATAGGTGACAGAAGATCTTAAACTGTGGTCGTCACTCTCACAAATAAGTGCGGTAAGCAAAATATTAGTGAAAGCTCTTAGAAAAATGGACTGAATCAAAATCGAAACTGTGCATTTCTGTCGCTGCGCAATCCAAGAAAGATATCCACCATATTGCGTAATCCTAGTTTCCAGTGCGTCGAGGCACGCGATATGAATAGTACAGAGTGCGATATAAGTTGATAATGTAGGTCAGTATTAGCATTGAAGAATTTATAGGGAACCTGAAGAGGCATTCATCTGTACTGAATCAGCCACTGAAGATTAATGCCTTTCACAATTGTTGTATATTAGAGGAAAGCGCTATACCTGTAGGGGTCATATAGTGCCTGTGAAATGGGAGGCATGAAATTCAATCCAAGCAAGAGAAAAATAAGTCTAATTCCTTGGATCAAGAGCCCCTCACCAGTATCAAGTCAAAATAATGGACTGATGAAAAACAATACTATACCACATTTTTCATAGATTAATTTTAAAGGTTAAGAGCTGTTACTGTACCTTAGTTCGTATGAAAGACTAGCCCTGTCGACTAACATCCGTGAACCTACTTACTGCTAGAGGAACAAGGGCAGCAGGTTAAAGGTAACGAAAATCTTGAATCAGAAAAAGATACTTAGATATTGCCTAATCTAACATGATGCATAACTTTGTTAGAGACAACTTTTATCAGTCCAGCTCACTGAATATTTCAAAATACGTGTACAGAGCTTCCTAATATTTTATCACTTCACTCTTACAAACTGATTGTATATTTTATTTGTACTGCTTTTATTTTTTATTTAACTACCTTGCCTACTAAACCAAGTAGTATAATTAATCATTAATTTAATTATTGTTTATACATTTTTCGATTTTTTGTAACCACCCTTCTGTTGTTATTATATACATAGGCTAATGTTTGTCAATTTTCATTTGATTTAGTTTAATAATACACGTTTTATTTTCATGTCAATTAGCTTTAATGCTGCGCGTAATGGTACATAGAAAATACCATCACAGAAATTATCATCATTCTACCGTATTTACTTCCCTATTATGAAATGGACGTTAATTCTTATGGAATAACAAATATTGATATTATTTATGATAGAAAAACATTTTACAAATAACTTCAACTAGTATTATAAGGTTATATCACACTGCTTGTTCTACAGATGTAGCACGTTAGGTTAGGTTAGGTTTGTCAAGAAACAGAACAAAGGCTCCGTAGATGGAGCCTTTGGTCACCTGACTATGACCTTCCGCTGGCTTCTCGGTCCACCCTTTAAAAATTATGGTTATGATAATTACCATTTATTCGTACTGTAGTACGTACACAGAGAACACTGAACTCGGAATCGGACTGAAAGGACACATCGGCACCCTGACTCAAACTATTGAAGGTTGAAGTTATGTCTGTTGGAGTGTCATTATGCTTGCTTGATCAATAACGTGATAAATATATTTTAAAACTTGTGGCACTCTTAAATACTCTTGACATTAAATTGATTGATAAAAAATGCAAATTTGTATTTAGCGTCAGAGGGTTTAAATTTTAATAGTTTCTAAATGTTTTTATTACTCGTGTTGCTTATAACGACCAGATATTTTTTTAAGGAACATAATTATATAGAAGGAGCAAGGGGCTAGTAACCCCTCCTGTATACATTAGTAAATTTAAAAAGAGAAATTTTTGTTTTTCTTTTTAGGTCACCCTGCCTCGGTGGGATACGGCCGGTTCATTGAAAAAAATGTATATAGAAATACTGACAGCAACTATATTTATCCCAACTGGACAAACAGATTTTCTGGAATTCGGGTTACAGTGCACGTTTTTGCTATGTGCTTTGTTTCATGCAGCGTGACCGGTAAAACATCCTAGATGCTCTTCATAATACTCAGCTAGTCGTAAATACTCCTTTGAACATTATCTTTTATCTTTACACACACAAACAAGGCGTTCAAGGAATGTTAAGGTCTCCTTTAATAGAGAGCAGCTTATTTGTTGGTGGCTATGTCAAAGTAGCTGGTCCGACGCGTCCATCCCTGCAGCTCAGGTGGGTATGTTCCGCCTAACGTGTGTTAACTCTTGTTGATTATCTTTGGCCTCAATACATACTTAACGCCTGGACAACTGCAATGTAAACCGCTTATTGAAATTTGTATATGACTTAATAATGATGACTAAACGTACGTTGCGTCAACATGATGTAACTCAGGAATCTTCATCACATTAATAACACATGTAAAGGGTAAGAAACAAGAGGGTAGGCAAGGGAATAGTAGCTGACTTGATCTCACCCTGCAGACAAGAACGAGTGCCGGCGCTGCGTCAAGGCCTTGCAGGAACTGGAAAACGTGGACGATGACGCTGACCAGCTGGGCATTGCCTTCGTCAAGATAAACGACCCTGAGCTAGCAGACGAGTACTCCTTAGGTGCGCTTCCTGCCCTTGTCTACTACCGCAGGCGCATCCCCGTCGTCTACGATGGTAAGTACCTTCCAAGGAGGTGCCTTGTGGCTGGTGAGGAGAGCTTAATTCCAAGAATTGTAGTTGCCCCCTTTTTTTTCTGGCTCATTTCTGATTATTTCCCATTCCCCAGACGCTGTATGACCCTTATGTGTTTAATACTTCCCCTTGAATAATATAATAATAGTTGGGATAAAAGGTATCCGGTCAGAAGAGGTTGGAATGGTGAGGAATAGTCAGGTGGAGAGTGAAATGAGAATGAGGCCACGAGGCTGAGGATGGTGGGCTACCGTTAATAATGTTGACAAGCTTGTCAACTGGTTCCCTTCCTCCCCTCCAATGGCCACCGCACTGGCCGTCTCCCACCGAGGCAGGGTGACCCAAAAAGAAAGAAAATCCCCAAAAAGAAAATACTTTCATCATCATTCAACACTTTCACCTCACTTATACATAATCACTGTTTTTGCAGAGGTGCTCAGAACACAACAGTTTAGAAGCATATACGTATAAAGATACACAACATATCCCTCCAAACTGCCAATATCCCAAACCCCTCCTTTAAAGTGCAGGCATTGTTCTTCAAATTTCCAGTACTCAAGTCCGGTTATATAAAAATAACCGGTTTCCCCTGAATCCCTTCACTAAATATTACCCTGCTCACACTTCAACAGCTCATCAGGTCCCAAATACCATGCGTCTCCATTCACTCCTATCTAACACGCTCACGCATGCTTGCTGGAAGTCCAGGCCCCTCGCCCACAAAACCTCCTTTACCCCCCTCCCTCCAACCTTTTCGAGGACGACAACTACCCTACCTTCCTTCCCCTACTTTGATCTATTCGCTCTAAATGACCACACCACCTCAACCCCTCTTCAGCCCTCTGACGAATACTTTTATTAACTCCACACCTCCTAATTTCCACACTGCGAATTCTCTGCATAATATTTACACCACACATTGCCCTTAGACAGGACATCTCCACCGCCTCCAACCGCCTCCTCGCTGCAGCATTTACAACCCAAGCTTCACACCCATATAAGAGTGTTGGTACTACTATACTTTCATACATTCCCTTCTTTGCCTCCATAGATAATGTTTCTTGTCTCCACATATACCTCAATGCACCACTCACCTTTTTTCCTTCATCAATTCTATGGTTAACCTCATTCTTCATACATCCATCCACTGACACGTCAACTCCCAAATATCTGAAAACATTCACTTTTTACATACTCCTCCTCTCCAATTTGATATTCAGTTTTTCTTTATCTAAATCATTTGATACCCTCATCACCTTATGCTTTTCTATGTTCACTTTCAACTTTCTACCTTTACACACTCTCCCAAAATCGTGCACTAACCTTTGCAACTTTTCTTTAGAATCTCCCATAAGCACAGTTTTATCAGCAAAAAGTAACTGTGTCATTTCCCATTTTGTGTTTGATTCCCCATAATTTAATCCCACCCCTCTTTCCCGAACACCCTAGCATTTACTTCTTTTACAACCTCATTTATAAATATATTAAACAACCATGGTGACATTACACATCCCTGTCTAAGACCCACCTTTACCGGGAAGTAGTCTCTTACTATAACCCACTTTTCACATCCAACTTTTATTTTACTCCACATAATCCTTGAATTAATACATTTATACTCCATCTTCTTATATATATATATATATATATATATATATTTATATATATATATATATATATATATATATATATATATATATATATATATATATATATATATATATTTTTTCAACAAGTCGGCCGTCTCCCACCGAGGCAGGGTGACCCAAAAAAGAAACAAAATCCCCAAAAAGAAAATACTTTCATCATTCAACACTTTCACCACACTCGCACATTATCACTGCTTTTGCAGAGGTGCTCAGAATACAACAGCTTAGAAACATATACGTATAAAGATACACAACATATCCCTCCAAACTGCCAATATCCCAAACCCCTCCTTTAAAGTGCAGTCATTGTACTTCCCATTTCCAGGACTCAAGTCCGACTCTATGAACATAACCGGTTTCCCTGAATCCCTTCACTAAATATTACCCTGCTCACACTCCAACAGATCGTCAGGTCCCAAGTATCATTCGCCTCCATTCACTCCTATCTAACACGCTCATGCACGCTTGCTGGAAGTCCAAGCCCCTAGCCCACAAAACCTCCTTTACCCCCTCTTTCCAACCCTTTCGAGGACGACCCCTACCCCTCCTTCCTTCCCCTATAGATTTATATGCTTTCCATGTCATTCTACTTTGATCCATTCTCTCTAAATGATCAAACCACCTCAACAACCCCTCTTCTGCCCTCTGACTAATGCTTTTATTAACTCCACACCTTCTCCTAATTTCCACACTCCGAATTTTCTGCATAATATTTACACCACACATTGCCCTTAGACAGGACATGTCCACTGCCTCCAACCGTCTCCTCGCTGCTGCATTTACCACCCAAGCTTCACATCCATATAAGAGTGTTGGTACTACTATACTTTCATTCATTCCCTTCTTTGCCTCCATAGATAACGTTTTTTGACTCCACATATACCTCAACGCACCACTCACCTTTTTCCCTCATCAATTCTATGATTAACCTCATCCTTCATAAATCCATCCGCCGACACGTCAACTCCCAAGTATCTGAAAACATTCACTTCTTCCATACTCCTCCTCCCCAATTTGGTATCCAATTTTTCTTTATCTAAATCATTTGATACCCTCATCACCTTACTCTTTTCTATGTTCACTTTCAACTTTCTACCTTTACACACATTCTCAAACTCATCCACTAACCTTTGCAATTTTTCTTTAGAATCTCCCATAAGCACAGTATCATCAGCAAAAAGTAAATGTGTCAATTCCCATTTTGAATTTGATTCCCCATAATTTAATCCCACCCCTCTCCCAAACACCCTAGCATTTACTTCTTTTACAACCCCATCTATAAATATATTAAACAACCATGGTGACATTACACATCCCTGTCTAAGACCTACTTTTACCGGGAAGTATTCTCCCTCTCTTCTACACACCCTAACCTGAGCCTCACTATCCTCATAAAAGCTCTTTACAGCATTTAGTAACTTACCACCTATTCCATATACTTGCAACATCTACCACATTGCTCCTCTATCCACTCTATCATATGCCTTTTCTAAATCCATAAATGCAATAAAAACTTCCCTACCTTTATCTAAATACTGTTCACATATATGCTTCAATGTAAACACTTGATCTACACATCCCCTACCCACTCTGAAGCCTCCCTGCTCATCCGCAATCCTACATTCTGTCTTACCTCTAATTCTTTCAATTATAACCCTTCCGTATACTTCTCCTGGTATACTCAGTAAACTTATTCCTCTATAATTTTTACAATCTCTTTTGTCCCCTTTCCCTTTATATAAAGGGACTATACATGCTCTCCGCCAATCCCTAGGTGCCTTCCCCTCTTTCATACATTTATTAAACAAAAGTACCAACCACTCCAACACTATATCCCCCCTGCTTTTAACATTTCTATCATGATCCCATCAGTTCCAGCTGCTTTACCCCCTTTCATTCTACGTAATGCCTCACAGATCGGCAGTGAGCGCAGTAACCTACAGATCCAAACCCATCGTATTGCATTGAGTGGAGCTCTCAGAGACACAGCTAGCAGGGTAGTAACTGTAATGTTCGTGTTGCAGGTGACCTGATGAACGAGGACAAGGTGCTCGAGTGGCTGGTGGAGAACAAGAACACCGGCGACGACGATGATGTTATTGATGACGTCACACTGGGTCTTCTCAATACCCTGATCGACTCGTTGGATCACCTCGCCGTCATATTCTGTATGTTTGCTAAAAAAATTGTGCAATGTCTTATATTTTGCATGATATTTACCCTCCTACTGCTTACTGTTCCACCTAATACGACTTTTATGCTCTTTTGCGCTGCTTGGTAATAACGCCTTATATTTTATAGAATGACATGGAGAGCGTATAAATCTGTAGGGGAAGGAAGGCGGGGTAGGGGTCGTCCTCGAAAAGGTTGGAAGGGGTAAGGGAGGTTTTGTGGGCGAGGGGCTTGGACTTCCAGCATGCGTGCATGAGCGTGTTCGATAGGAGTGAATGGAGACGAATTTTATTTGGGACCTGACGATCTGTTGGAGTGTGAGCAGGGTAATATTTAGTGAAGGGACTCAGGGAAACTGGTTATTTTTATATAGCCGGACTTGAGTCCTGGAAATGGGAAGTACAATGCCTGCACTCGGGATATTAGCAGTTTGGAGGGATATGTTGTGTATCTTTATGCGTATATGCTTCTAAACTGTTGTGTTCTGAGCACCTCTGCAAAAACAGTGATTATGTGTGAGTGAGGTGAAAGTGTTGAATGATCATGAAAGTATTTTCTTTTTGGGGATTTTCTTTCTTTTTGGGTCACCCTGCCTCGGTGGGAGACGGCCGACTTGTTAAAAAAAAATTGCAAGTACTTTGTGATTATGCTACCGATAGTTTTCTTATGATACATTTTTTACTGGATTATTTTTTTTCTCGTAACGTACCATATAGTCTGTTATACTGCATTATATTGATGGGTTATGATTCCGGAAGCCACAGCTGCTCATTAATTTTAATCTCGTAACCAAGTTTTGTCATGCTTAACCATCACTAATAATTTTGTTGTATTTAAAAATAAGCGCATCGATGTGTTTAACAAGAGAATATATACACTGGCAAGTCTTTTTAAATAAAAAAAATATTTCATATAAATTTAAATAATCGTTTTGTGTTCCATGTGATTCATAAAATAAACACCTGACAGGATGATAACTTGCAGCCTTCTGAAAGCCATTTAGACTATACATTTCACTTGTGGAAAGATTTCTCTATACACTTTTGTTCTTGCACTATATCACCATCTTGTACACACAGACGACCGCGACGAATCTGATGATACGCAGATTCTGCAGGAGTTGGAGAATATAGACGACGAACTCGACTCTCACGGGATTCACATCGTCAAGATCGCCGACGAAGTAGCTGCCCGCGAGTATGGTATTGAGAATACGCCTTCGCTTGTCTACTTCGAAAACGAGGTCAGCCTTCCCCAGAGAATGAGAACCTGCACCTGCCATCGTTTGTTTTACTGTAGTCTTGTAGTTATCATATCACTAATATAGTCACTAGTAGCATCGTAGACTAGTCTCACTCTGCCAAAATACTGAAATTATAGTGTCTTTGATTCAGCTCTCCTCGTTGTAGTAGAAATTTGATCTTAGTGCTTTGCTTTACCATCTGGATTCTGGAATCACAGATTTCTTACTTTCTTCTTCCTTTAGTGTAATAGTATGTCCCGTGGTGGTATATATAACCTTGTGTCTTCCTCTTTTCCCTAGATGGCAGTGGCTGCGTTACGAAGGGTACCTTCAGTGTCCTCTTTAATTACTGCTCCATACGTGACTGGGGCAGCCAACCCTTTAAATGTTCATGCTAACCTACATGCACCCACAGTAGCCAACATCAGTAATAATAATTGATAAATGTCTGGCAAGCTGTTATTCTTCTTTCTTTCCCTGATTGTTGTAGCATATGCAGTATTTATATAAAAAACACTTATACAACGTTAGGTACTATTATTATGGAAATGGTTCGCCCATCAGAGGTTTTATCAATTAAATACAAAGCCAAGGAAAATGTGAAAATGTACAATAGCGTGGAGGTCAGTTGTAGTATAGGCGAAGTGCACAAAATGGTTAATGATGTCACCAGACGGCTGTCTCCTGGCAGCTTAGAATCAGCTTAGCAAAAAATCTGGAAATAATGAAGCTTCTTGTGTTCCTCACAGATACTTTGCCAAGACAATAACTTCATATTTTAAAACAACGGCGTTTATGTAATTCCTCTTCCTTGCTGATGGGTTTGGCATCATTTCACTTCATAAAATGGTCGTAGTTACTTCTGTGAATAACGGATGCAGAGTTGTCATCGGATTTCCTATGAGGGCCTACAAGGTATATAGCGCTGTATACCTCGAGGAGAGATGTGACTACATTCACCGAATCTTTAAACTACACTTCATATATCATCAATAACTGTAAACGTTCTGTGCGGATATTCAACATATCCTCCCAAGCTTGACAGATCTCCGGAAAGATTTGTCATCCTTCCCAACAGTAAGGTGGTTATTGATATTTCCCGTCTTCAAATAACAGTTACCATCAGTACTACTATCAGAGATCAGACTAACAGGAAACCCACAAGTCAACATTAAGGCAAGAGTGTGTTATATTGACTAAGCGAGAAAATATATGAGAGGGAAAAACCAGAGACTTACACATCCGTATCAACGAACATAAATGTCTTCCTTCCTGACAATATTAACAGTGTCATGGTTATTTGCAGAAATAATCACGGCTACTTAATGAAGCGGAATAATGCCAAACATATCAATAAAAACGCCTTTGTTTAGAAACTGAGGTCATTTATCTTGAGTTTACACTTGTTCAGAGGACTGCAAGCTTCATTATTTCCTGAGTTTTGGCTAAATTGATTTTAGGTCGTCAGAACACAGCCGTCAAGACAGTTGTCAGGACAGTCAAGACACAATCGTCAGGACATAGTTGTCAGGACCCGCTCGTCAGGACACAACTGACAGGTGCCGTTATTAACCATTTTGTACATCTCATCTTAAACTACAATTGATCTAATCAACGTTGATCAGAATTTTCCTATTTTTCCCTCTGTATTTGATCGAGACCCAGATGGGCGAAACGTTTTCATGATAAAGTTCCCTGATATTATATAAGCGTCTCTTTTTTTTATGCATTTATAGGTATCATATACCTTATTTTCAACGTGCAGTGTTCTTAATGTAAAGATACATATATCGACTGTAAAAAATATATAATAATAATACTGCAATAATGCTGAGTTAATATGTCGGTGCATGGATGTTTGGAATGTAATAATCGATATGAAAAACATAGTAGTATTGATGTTCATTTTATAAGGTAGCATTTGTAACAATAAACCTAGTAGTACTGTTATAATAATAACAACAATAATAATAAATAAATTATAACTTATAAAATAATTATAAAAAATGTTAATTATATGCATTAACAATCATAAGTAAAATATTAATATAGACATAAACTTTAAATAGTGGCCTTTACATTTTTTTTTTTGAGGGGCTTTGTACAATTAAATGTGTTGAGATTTTACTTCGTATTAAATATAAACACTCTGCTTCCTGTTTATAGTCTCAGTACTGTGTAGTTACTTAGGCGAGCGGTACGATACACAAAAACGGAGAGAAATTAAATTCTTTCGTGAAATCTATTAGAAGCTAGGTTAATTAGCATCAGTGTGTGTAAAATTTATTTATATAATTCTGAAGCTAACATGGTTATTGCTGTGATAAATGGTTTTAAAAATCGACGAGTTGAAGAAGAGACACTTATGCAACATATGGGAATCTTTATTGAGGAAACGTTTCGCCACACAGTGGCTTCATCAGTCCAGTACATAGAAGAAATTGGATTGGACTGTTGAAGCCACTGTGTGGCGAAACGTTTCCTCAATAAAGATTCCCATATGTTGCATAAGTGTCTCATGGTTATTGCTGCATACCCAGCAGTTCATGTTACGCTTTGCTTTTATTATAATATTCATGGAATATCATAACTAATATCTCTTTATTAGTTTTGTAACTCAGCCTTACAAGCCAGAGAGGTAGGCTAGTCAGGGCCTTAACATGATTATTGACTGAATACCACAGCCCTTCCTACCATTTAAAGCCTCTAGAACAAGCTTAAAGGGCTGGGAGTTTGAAATCTTACCTCTACACACTTATTTCGACAAATTTCTAGAGATACAGTGGTCCCTTTTGCCCTTACCCGAAGTGTCCCTTGCCTGGCTACCCAGTACTAGTGTGTGGTGCCCTGCAGATCCCCTCCCTCTATGACGGTGACCTGCGCAACGAGGAGGAGGTACTCGCCTGGCTTATTGAACAGCTCCAGACAGACGAGATCGAGGACGTGACCGACGAGATGCTTGACAAACTTATCCGCGAAGCTAACCATCTGGCCGTTCTCTTCTGTGAGTAGTCCACTTGATGTATTGAAGGTGCCATAAACAGTATGAGTAATTCTCCTTTAAGTTCATTGTTTATGTTATCTTAGTGTCAGTTATACTTCTTTGAATTCAATAAGTCGCCTTCAGTGTGACTAGTCACCTATTTTTTTCTTATGTAAAAGATTATTTTTTGCTGTTTTAATTTCATTTGTGTGATGGCCATGTTTTAGTTCACTGTTACAAAAGCACTACAAGACTTCGACTTCATTTTCTACTATGCTGTGTCGTGTCTTCAAGTTAGGCGTTGGTGATGCATGAGTATCTGCAGTGCAATGTTGCATAGTGTATGTACACTAAGGAGAATGTACCTGTGTATGTACACTGAGGGAAGTTTACTTATGTATGTACATTGAGTTTACTTTCATCTCTATATGAGAGACTGATGTATTACTGATCGGTAGTATATAGGAGACATACAGTATTAATGACTGTGCAGACTAATAAGTCAGTCCAATGGAATGCAAAATTAACTACCTGCTACTTATAAAAGTAACAAATACATACCAACGCCTATTCTGAAGTTCTTCATTGAAGTGAAATTAAATCCTCATTTAAAGTCTTTAATATAGATGTAGACTCCTGCTTATATATTTTTTTGGGAATCATCTCCACCATTAATCGTTTTTATTTGTAAATTGTTGAAGCGACAAAATGATTTGGCAGTAAAGACGAACTGGTCATTTTTTAATTGTAATTTAGTACCAGTACTGTATTCTGTTCACTTGTAATTACGGCACCATACTTCCCATTTGATGGCTTTCTTTAATAACTTTATCCCTTCAAAAGAGGAATGTGCCTTTATACATACGAAGGGATCATGATCCAAGAAATTGGATCTACATTCCCCTTCCTCCCATCAAACCTGATTACTCACCATTTCCCAGTCGCTGTATAACCCTTAAGGCTTTAACTCTTCTCTGTAAATATAATATCTTTACATTTGCCTATTTGCACCTTGCTCAAAATATAAACACAACCTATAAATCCTCACATTATATATGCTTATGTTATCGTGGTTATATCTAGACGACGAGGACGACCAGGAATCCCAGCTGGTGGTGAATGAATTGGAAAACATCGACGATGAGTGTGATGCTAAGGGCGTCTCTTTTGTCAAGATCGACAATGATGATGAGGCCAAAGAGTACGGCATCGACAACCTCCCTACCCTCGTCTACTTTGAAAAAGGAGTTCCCTCCGTCTACTCTGGTAAAAAAAATGGGTCACTATGGTAAAAAAAAGGGTCACTAGAAGATTCGACCACCCCTGTGAAAACCGTTAATTAAAGTTATATTAAGTCTAAGGTAGATTAGATAAATTTATTTTACATTATATAACTTTGAACGACTTTAAAAGTGGCTAGGTTAGGTTTGGTGTAAATATTAAAAATTGGCATACCAATAAAAAGAGAAACCTTTTAGAATGTTCATGCCTTTGTGAAAATAATAATGTATATAACAAAGAATAAGTTTTGCAAATACTGAACTGTGCTTTAATCAATAAACGAAGCCGTGTTAATGTTTTTTTTATTGCGTTTCATGGGCATTGTTACAGGTAACTTGCTAGCTGAAGATGAAGTGCTGGACTGGCTGGTTCATCAGGTCGAGGATGACGAGATAGAGGACGTCACTGACGAGATGCTCGACCGCTTGATTGACCGCTCTGAAAACTTAGCTGTTCTCTTCTGTAAGTAACTCTTGTTTTGGCTTCTGGAACTCATGTTCTATATCGGTCGTAGTGGGGTAACAACTTATTTATGATCATGTGTTTTGCAAATATTTTTTGGGATATTGGCAGTTTGGAGGGATATGCTGTGTATCTTTATATGTATATGCTTCTAAACTGTTGTATTCTGAGCACCTCTGCAAAAACAGTGATAATGTTTGAGTGTGGTGAAAGTGTTGAATGATGATGAAAGTATTTTCTTTTTGGGGATTTTCTTTCCTTTTTGGGTCACCCTACCTCGGTGGGAGACGGCCGACTTGTTGAAAAAAAATATTAAATATTTTTTGAAGGGGTTCAGAGAAACCGTTTAGACGGACTTGAGGCCTGGAAATGAGTAGTACAACGCCTGCACTTTGAAGGAGGGGTTTGAGATATTGGCAGTTTGGAGTGACTATCTAAACTGTTGTATCTGGACGTCTCTGCAAAGACAGTGATTATGTATGAGTAATGGTGAAAGTGTTGACTGATAATGAAAGTTTTTTCTTTTGGTTTGGGTTTTTCTTTCTTTTGGGTCACCGTGCCTTGGTGGGAAACTGCCGACGTGTTAAAAAAATTAAATATGTTTTTAAAAATTTGGAAAAAATCAGTACCGATGAGTTTAAGCTGTCTGGAGAAAAAGAGGTCAAATAATGTGCAAATTATGAGAAGCAGTGTATGAATTTTTCTCGTACAGTAACAGTACAGTCACAGTACCAGGGATAGAATAATTAACAACTACATATACTACAAACCGGAAATTAAAACTTGATAATACTTCACGATAGTAGTACAGTTTTTAATTGTAATTTTTTAGGGGAGCTGCCCCTCACGGGGGGAAGGATTTTTTGATGTTAGTGTAGGGCTCTTGATACAAAGAACTAGAATTATCTTCGCGAATTAAATCCGATTATCTTTAATTTCTCGGTTACTGTATGACCTCTGTGTTTAACACTTCCCATGATCATAATACTAATAATATGCAAAGACAGTAATTTCGTTGATGGCGAAAGCGTTGAATGATGGTGAAAGTGTTTCAATTTTGGGTCACCCTACCTCGGTGGGAGACAGCCGACGTGTTGAAAAAAAACTTTATATAACTAATATGGTCTAGGCCTAACGATTTTATGTAGATATAATGTATGTCGTATCTGCGCGCCTCTGGCAAGACAGTGATAATGTGAATAAGGGTGAGGGTGTTTCTTTTTCGGGTCACCCTGCCTCGGTGGGAGACTGCTAGTGAGTTAAAAAATAATGTATGTTTCAGATGACAAGGACAGCCGGAGAAGCAAGAAGGTGCTGGCAGAGTTGGAGAACATTGACGACGAGTGTGACTCCCGCGGCATCTTATTTGTCAAAATCGATAACTATGAGGAAGCTAAGGAGTACGGCATCGACACCATTCCTACACTCGTCTACTTTGAGAGCGAGATTCCCTACATATATGAAGGTGAGGCTTCAGATTAACTCTATAACAGATTTTGCTCTTAAATGCATGTCCATAGCACTCATTCATTTACGTTTTAAATGCTTTAGATTTTAAGCATATGGTATTTTTGCAAATATTAACATAAATGCAGCTTAAAAAAAGTTTGAAGGTTTCTAACGTTAGTAGCAGGTTTTTGTCATTACCAATACTAAGTGTTGTCATTTGTGTACTCAGGTGATCTGATGAAGGAGGAGGAAGTGTTGGAGTGGCTGATCCATCACATGGAACACGAGGAGATTGCTGACGTCACTGATGAGATGCTCGACAAACTCATTGCTAATGAGCCCTTCCTCGCTGTCCTCTTCTGTGAGTGTTACACCCTCTGCCACACACTACACCTTCCCTATCGTTATCCTACCTTTATTCTACACTTGCTACAATAACTTATAACCTACTATTACATTTTTTTATATTTAATTTTCTGTGGGCTATAGAAAAGTACTTGTGTACAGTGCAGCACATTTATTAAAGGAAACGTTTCGCCACGATTAGCTTCGTGCAGTTCCTTTAATAAATTTCATGGACTGTCGACAAATGTCCTTTTCCATATTTTGTCGGTATCACTAATCATTTCAGACCAACGGAAATCTGGATCAAATGATCGATAAGCTCCACAAAAGAGATTTATTTTTTTTGTTTCTCAGAGCAAACATATCAGTGGATTATTTGGTATATTGCATGTGCATCTTAAAGATAGTATATAGAAGTAATTGATTTAAATTGAAGAACATGGTTCTTGATTATATGATTTAAGGAGAGAATGAGTGAAAACAGTAAGGCAGAAAGTTTGCCTGAGAGATGATAAGATAAGAGGGGATGGAAGCAGGAAATGAAGAACTGAGGCTCCTCTGGGGAAAAAACAACTCAAGTTCCTTGATGCTGGTGAGGGGGGGGGGTCTTGATCTGAGGAATTTGACCCTTGCTCCAATTCCTTGAGTCAGTCTGAATGCCTACCATTTCCCTAGGCACTGTATGACCCATATGGGTTTAGCGCTCCCCCTGAATGTAATGATGTGATAGGTAAAATTATCTTTATTAAAGATAGGCTGTTAAACTCTGAAATTGTAATTATACTTGCTAAGAATGAATAAATATGCCAGTATAGAAGATAGTCCCAGCTAGATTGAGCAATTTTACTAGGATGTAATGAAGACGAAATCCCAAATAACATACAAAATAAGAAAATAAATAAGCAAAATAGATAAAATAAGAAAATATATTAAAGTTACGATATATTTCTACAGCTGTCATGTCGGCATGACATAAATATTTGTGTCAAAGTTTGAAGAAACCCACAGAGACATTAATTTAAAATGTGAGAGGCTGTATATTTCGACCTCCGACTGAGATGCTATTTAACCGAAGAGGATCCCAGTTGGAAGAACTTAATAGTCAGTGATCGAAACTCCAGCCGTTGTCACTAGTGACTCTAGTCGCACCACTTGGCTGAGAGTTAATATCAGGTCCAAATATGATAAATTTTCACTACACTTCAAAGTTTTCAGTCATTTGTGCCGTGACTGACTCGGTGATCATGTGACATGTGTTGTAGACGATAAGGATGACGCTGAGGACCATGAGGTGCTGGCTGAGCTAGAGAGCATCGACGATGACTGTGAGCAGGCGGGCGTCCCATTCGTCAAGATCGACAACGACGCAGAGGCTAAGGAATACGGCATTGAGGAACTCCCAACACTAGTCTACTTTGAGAACAGAATACCTAGCATTTATGAGGGTAAGTATATATTTACATGTTGTCTTTGTTAAGTATGCATATTTACCTTTGAGCAGAAAATGCTAAATTTGAAAACCAAGTAAATCAAATAACAAGAGTGTGTGTATAATTACCTCATTTGGAGTTTCAAAAGCAGATCAGAGCGATGCTTGTGGTATCCCATATTTATTTTTTAGTGTGTGGTACATACTACATCTTCTTAGATACCATTTGAACAGTCTTCCACTGTTTGTGAAGACATATCTGTAATTACCAGTTCGAGGTAATTGGCGTTATTAGTCTTATATCTATTTATGAACTCTTGTTTGTAATCGGCATCTACTGTCTCACTGTCCAACTCATTTGGCCTTATTGCCACATGAGCTAAAGTTTTCTTTGAGGTCCCTGTGGTTCGTTTGGGTGTGTGGTTTTCCTCTGTGTCCTCTTGTTTTAGTTTCCTCTCCTGTTAAGAGTAATGTGGAAAATTGCATTTATCTGAATGTAACTAATTAAGTACATAACAGTAAATGATAACAAAGATAATTATTATTTATCAATGTTACATAGACAAGTAGGAATTTGGGACACCTAGGTCGCAAAAAATGTCCCCCTTCGATACCTACCACTGTCATAACCACAAGTTGCTCTGGACCTATTAATTAAATGAAATATACATACACCAGGAATACTGGTAAATATATAAATTTGTGGACTGTATATTAAAAATAATAAATGGTTATATATATATACACAATTACATAACAGAAGGAAAATATATCTTAATATCACTCACCAATTTGACTGGAGATTAATGTGTATCATACTCAGAAAACCTCACTCTAACTAAATCTATGAAAATAATGCTGGCCAGAATTACACACAAATCTAGAGAGCTTATCTGAGGTTCCTGGAGCTGTCTTGTCCAGTCGCCTGATATCTCAAGTTATGCAGGAATGCACATCCACCAATTTCACCTCCTATTTGAGAGGTGTCAACACAATTTTAACCTCTAGAGCACGAAAAATTCTTCCCATTACACCAACGTTTGTACAAAATTCAAAACCAAGATGGCGAGTCTCCTGCCCAGACGCAGGCTTTCCGTTTTCTATGACAAATATTATTAAATACAGTATAGGCCATCTATTTACCTATAAATTACCGTATTTCCGGAAAATATATACAGTATTTTCCACAAGTAACTTGTTTATCTTGTCTGTGTCCGAGAGTATTTTATTTGTTCTGTGTCATTATCATATGTCCTATTGTTCTTCATTCCTCCAAACATGGGACTTTTAGATCTGTCATTCTTTCTTCATAGCTCATTTTCCTCAGTCTGGATGCACTTCCTTTTACTTTTGGTTTCACTTTGTGTTTGACGAAGGAATGTTCCCACTATGGTTCTGCATACTTAAGATTTGGTCTCTTTAACGTGTCTTTTTCTTGGTTTCTGAAAGTCGTCCTTGTCTTGACAAGCTTGTGTTGTGCGTGTGCTCTTCATGTTCATGTTATTCTGTCTGTGAGCCTCAGATGAGAGGTTCAGTTTAGTAATTATTTCTAAATATTTTTCTTCTGGTTGTATACGTCTTATTCACAGATGGTACACTGTCACCAGTCTCCTTTCCTCATCTCTAGTCTTCATTACTTTACCTCTACCGATGTTAAACACCAGCAACCATTTATCTTACTTTTCGTGACGTTTGCCTAGGTCTTCCTTCAGCCGTCTACTAATCGCTTATCATTATTTTGAAATCGTATAAAAGCAAGTATGCGTAAAACTTGCGTTATCATGTATACACTAAGAATAACATGAGAGACGCCTCTAGTTATTTTCCTATCATGCTGCTTCATTACTTACTATAGCATTGTTTCCTCTCAGACATGCTATTACCTTTCCTGTTACCTCAGTTTGCTTCTCCATTTTGGCAAGTAATCTCTGTGGTACTATGTCAAAGGATTTTCTAACGTTCTGGGTATATGCGGTCTATCCATCCTCTTACTTTTATTGCTACATAAATTCCATAAATCTTTAAGGTTTGTTAGGCACAGCTTTCCATTCCTAAAGCGATGTTAAGAAATACAGTGCATTTTCCCTCAATATCCAACTTTCCATTAGGTGTCCCGTAGCTCAATCGCTAGTGCATTCAGCTCACACACTGAGGTCCGGAGATCGAATCCCCGGTACGGCGGGTAAACATTCGGACGTGTTTCCTTAAGACACCTGTTGTCCATATTCACCCATCAGTACTAAATGGGTACCTGGGTGTTAATCGACTGGTGTGCGTCGTATCCTGGAACAAAACTGACCTAATTTGCCCGAAATGCTCAGCATAACAAGCGGCTTCCTCTATAGTAGTATGTCATTGATGTCAGCTAGTTCTGTATACCTTGTACAGGTTTTTTTTTTTTTTTTTTTCAACAAGTCGGTCGTCTCCCACCGAGGCAGGGTGACCCAAAAAAGAAAGAAAATCCCCAAAAAGAAAATACTTTCATCATCATTCAACACTTTCACCACACTCACACATTATCACTGCTTTTGCAGAGGTGCTCAGAATACAAGTTTAGAAGCATATACGTATAAAGATACACAACATATCCCTCCAAACTGCTTGTAGAAATAAAGATATTATTATTATTCCTAAAGTGATGTTGAGGAATATAGTACATTCTCCCTCACTATCACCTGATCTCTCTCTCACTTTCCCCCCAGCCTCTCCCTCACTGTCATCCAACCTCTCCCTCACTATCCCTCACCCTCCCCCTCAAAATCCTTCAGCTTCTCCCTCAAAATCCTTCAGCCTCCCATTCAAAATCTTTCAGCCTCTCCCTCAAAATTCTTCAGCCTTTCCCTTAAAATCCTTCAGCCTTCCCCTCAAAATCCCTCAGTTTCTCCCTCGACCATTCTTTTTCTTGTAATCCTTTCAAATATTTTGTATATCTGTACTCATGACACTGGTCTTTAGTTTAGGATTTCTTGCTTCTTTCCTTTTTTATGAATGTCTGTCTTAAAGTTTGTTTTTAGTGTTTTGTTGAGGATGTGAGTGATTTGTACAGAACTTAGGTTCTTGCTTTTAACATAAGAACGAAGGAACACTGCAGTAGGCCTACTGGCCCATGCGAGGCAGGTCCAAGTCTCCTACCGGCTTAAGCCAATTCACCCAACCTAGTCAGGTTAGGTCACCTTGACTTAAGGGAGGAACACGGCAACCGTCCTGGTAGCACAAGCTAATCAGGTCCAACTCACACCCACCCACACCCACTCATGTATTTATCCAACCTATTTTTAAAGCTACACAACGTTCTGGCTTCTAGGACTGTACTTGGGAGTTTGTTCCACTCATCCACAACTCTATTACCAAACCAGTACTTTCCTATATCCTTCCTGAATCTGAATTTTTCTAACTTAAAACCATTGCTGCGAGTCCTGTCTAGGCTAGATATTTTCAGCACACTATTTACATCCCCTTTATTTATTCCTGTCTTCCATTTATACACCTCAATCATATCCCCCCTAATTCTACGTCTTTCTAGAGAGTGCAGATTCAGGGCCCTTAGTCTATCCTCATGGGGAAGGTTTCTGATACATGGGATCAACTTTGTCATCCTTTGTATCTGTTGTGATGATTGGCACTGAAGCCTATGAGTCTCAGTAGAGAGGAGAACATTAGAGTGAGCTGTTTGCGTGTGTGCATTCGTGCTTGCGTATGTATGCACGCATGCTTGCTCATGCGTGTGTATACATGCATGCTTGCATATGTGTATGTGTACATGCTTGCGTATGTGTGAATACGCACTGTCACTTCATTTACTTTGTATTTTTATTACTTAATGTATGTGCTTATGAATATGTATGAATGTACACTTGTAAAAGAGTAGACGAAGCAAGACTGACCAATTCTCTTTTCCCCGCGGGTGTGCAGGCGACCTCTCTAACGAGCAGGAGGTGTTGGCCTGGCTACTCCAACAGAAGAACACCGACACCATCGAAGAGGTCACTGACGAGATCCTGGATGATCTTATCGCCAACTTCGAATACGTTGCTGTCTACTTTAGTAAGTAAAACAATTTTCTCTATGGCGTCGAAAACGGGTTATAAGGAAGTTGAATAAATTGCAGGTGCAAGTTTTATCGATTCGGTGATGCGTGTGTTTCCAGTCAAAAACGAAATGCTTTGCATTGAAAAAACTAAAACCTATTGGATGAGGCCACGTGTTATTATTTTTATTATAATTATTATTAATTAACCTGAACAAGCGCAGTAGTACTGTGCTGACACTCCATATATTCACTCAGGCGGAAAGTGCGAGGAGGGCCAGAAATGTGACAAGATCTTGGACGAGCTGGAGAACATCGACGACGACACTGATGAGCATGGTATGCACTTCGTCACCACCGAGGAGACCAGCCTGGCCCACGAGCACGGTGTCAAGAGCTTCCCCGCACTCGTGCTCTTCAGAAACGGCGAGCCCGTCATCTATAAAGGTATGGTGAAGCTGGCGGACGGTGTGAGAGAGGAAGAGTGTGTTTAAATTAGTATGTGGGTGGGTGAGTGTATGGGCGAGAGAAATAATGTATGGAAGATGGTGTATGGGTGAGAGAGACAAATAGTGTTAGGGAAGAGAGTTGTGGATGAGTGAAACAAAATCCCAGGTAGCGTCATTGAAGAGTTTCGGTAAGCTTTACATACAGGTTGGACGGGTACATATAAGGTACATGACTGGCATAGCATTGGCAAGTAGGCCTGCTGCAGCGTGTTCTTTTGCTCTTGTATTGTGAGTGCAAGAGACTGTATAAGACAGTTGAGCGCAAGAGGGATTGAGAGTATGTTAAGAAAGACTAGAAAAGTGTGCATGAGAGTGGATGTGTACTCACCTAGTTGTGGTTGCAGGGGTCGATTCACAGCTCCTGGCCCCGCCTCTTCATTGGCCGCTACTAAGTCACTCTTTCTGCTCCATGAGCTTTATCATACCTCAGATTGTGAGTGAATATGAGTGCGTATGAGTGGGTGTGTGAGAGTGTTTAGTTATGTACTATTTACAAATCTTATATACATTGGATGAATTCCATTAATAATCAGGAACACTTTTTACCTAATTTCTTGATAAATTGCAAAATTACATTCTGTATACGTTATTGTTAATTTCGAAAAAGCTTGGCAACTTCATTTTAAAAATGCCATACCAACAAGAGAGATTTTCGTTAGATTTGGTTTTAAGAGGAAGAGACTAGGGATTTTATCTTTTTTTTTATAGCTGAAACTAGGCTTATTTATGCAAGAGTAAATAAATAATTTTGCTTTATTGCTTTAAGTGTGTTGCAGTCATCAAGAAAACATAGCGAGTTATACTTAAAATTATATGTAGATCTAGTGTACGACTTTCATACTCTCACAGGTGTCTTGTTCCTGCATGTAGAGATAACAGTCTCTTAAACAGCCAACACTTAGTGACACTCAGCAAAGAAAAACTTATCTTCTACTCGTCGATGTCGTGATCGTCCAGCCCATAGTCTGTCATTGATTAATGGCTACTCGCAGTCTCCTCCTTTGGCTTAGAAAAATGCCTCCTAAATTTAATCCAGAAGATGTTTCGTCGTACATACCTTCCTTTCGACCAGTCTTGAAGCAGCATGCTCGGTGCAGGGTTCACACACTTCTGCCTACAGATGCGTAGCCTCGACCAGTCGTGAACTAGCATACACTATGCTGGGTCCACACTCCTGCCCACAGATGAGTCGCTTCGACCAGTCTTGAATTTCCTTTTGGCTCCGTTACATTGCATACAAACACTTGGAGAAAGAAACGGCTTCATTATACCTCTTTACAACGTCATACACACACAATGCTAATGTGTGACTTATTGTCCTCAGGTTGCAGTAACTCTCCGGATAGCCTGCCTCACGTTTGGCGTTACTCATTTGATATCATTCCTCATGTCACCTAGACTCATGTATGATGGAATTCCACTAGTAACACTACAAGACAATAGCTGTGCCGAGAATCACCATCCCCAGGACAGGTACTACTTGAATCATTTCCAGCGATACTCTACGCCTCACAGACGTGTTAACCCAAGTCATAACTGTGATAGCTGGAACTTGTGTCTGTGAATCAGTGGATTCCTGTCAACTCTGTGATGTTACTATTTTATGCAGTAAAATCCTTTTGGAGTAGTGCTTTCTTTTCACACCTCTGCATGCTAATGTTGTATGTAGAGAAGGATTGTGCATTATACCTTAGCAGTCTTGTGCTGGACTACCCAGATGAAACAGATGACCGCAACATAGAGCAGCTAAGGTGGTGAGGACACTGGGTAAGGACAGCATTAAGTAGGAGTTGTGGTGCGTCTGGTATTGAAATCATGAAACGCTAAAGCCGGGAGTCATTTAGCACAAGGACTAGTGAAGGCTCGATCCTCT